GAATTAATCTGCTATTATATGTTGATTGTCCAATGGTCGAATGCTCACCAATCACGAGGAAGGTCTGGATTCCACTCCTGACCAACACATTCCTAAAGCCTGTCTAGTAGGTAGTAAGCCCGGAAAGGTCGGGTGTAAGACTAGCGATCCAATCCTGTAAAAATACAAAACCACCGCTACTGAAACGCTTAAGCTATTAGATATCATGATTGGTTGAACAACTGTCTGCAAAACGTATGACTGGTTCAATTAAAACTATTACAGCAGCAATCAGTTATTTAACTCATTCAGCGACTCGGGGATTGACTTGTTACCAAGAAATAATCTCGTTGACTTAGAATATGCAGATAGTATAGTCCTTCTACAGGAAGACGCTGACAAAGTGCAGTCTTCTGGTCACCTTGAACAGCGATCTGCAAATGTTTGGCATGCGATCCTCTCCCATCAAATGTAAGATGATGCTACAGAACTGGACTACATTGACTCCTAGGTTAAAGATATGGAGTGAAGTGGCAGAGTGTGTTGATCATTTTACTTGTTTGGGAAATTGCATCAGCCCCAACGGGTTGATAGCTGACGAAATCTCAGCATGGAAAGAGAAGGTTCCTTTGGCATATGTCAACTTACGCCATCTCTTGCGTAGACGTGATATCCGGCTGTCAACTTCTCGGCAGTTCGCTCTGTCCCCCTTTGTGGCTGTGAAACCTGGCCATTAAAATTGGAAGACATGAAAAGGTTAGTTGTCTTTGATCAGAGGTGCCTGAGTTTTATCACTCGTGGTAAGTGGTATAATAGGGTGAGCAATATTGAGGAAAGGAAAATCATGTACTGACCAAATTGCAACTCTACGCATCATCACAGAACAAAGCATGGAATAGCAATCAAACCACTACCTCAACTTTATAGACTTTGAGAAGGCCTTCACTAGACAGCGTCGACCGCGAAGTAATTTGGAAACTACTCAAGTACTACGGTGTACCCCAAATATTCAACCTTATTCAACAGCTGTACGACAACGGTACATGTCAAGTGATCCACAACGGAAAACGCAGCGAGGCGTTTGGAGTAAACACAGGAGTGAGACAAGGGTCCTGGCTTATTACCACCAATGATATTCCTAATTGTGGTGGACTGACTGGATTATGCGTCAGACAGTGGGAAACAAGAAGATAGGAATATCCTGGACCGACGCGAAGAACCTAGAAGACCTGGATTTCGCGGATGATTTATGTTTGATGTCACACAAAATCGAAGACTTACAAGCGAAAACCGACAAACTGGTAGAAAGAAGCAGGTAGTGAAGACAGGACTCCAAGTGAACATAGACAAGACGGAGGTGATGAAAATAATCAACCAACAGCAGCAACATCCAGCGTCAATCACCATCAACGGGAGGGATTTGAAAGAGGTTACTTCATTCACTTATCTAGGGAGCATTGTCTCAACTACAGAAGAAACGGACGAGGATGTCAAATCGAGAATCGGGAAGGCGAGCGAGAAACACATTCATCAACCTGAAACCAATCTGGAAATCTTCGTCACTCAGCATCAGATGGCCGTGCCGAAAAGAATCACCAACAAGGAACTATGAGAACAAACAAAACAAGAACCAATCGCCAACCAACAAATATGCAGGAGAAAGTGGAGATGGATCGGACACTCGCTGAGGAGACCGCTAGGTGACATCGCGCGTCAAGCCCTCAAGTGGAACCCTAAAGGGAAGCGGCGTGTGGGACGTCCAAGGGTGACATGGAGGAGATCGTGTGAAGAGGAGTTGAAAGAGTTTGGACTAACATGGATGCAGGTGAAAAGTACAGCAGAAGCAAATGGAGACGTGCAGTTGAAGCCCTATGTTCCACTAGGAACCCAAGGGAGCAATAATATAATATTGAGGTTAGACTTTCGTCGAGTGCTAGGTAAGGAGGGGCAATCAGTCAACGAGGTTGTGAAGTTAAACCGGTTGAGATGTTCAGGAGATGTGTTACGCATTCATTCCTAGTCATCGCCTTTCTCGACAACGGCCAGTGTTAGATGACATAGGATTGATCAGGTTGGAAGAGAGCTAGCTAGTGGTGGTCAAACGAAAACATGGCATAAGTCAATGAAATCCACAACAGTTAGTTTAAGCCAGTCACATAGAGTGGTGTAAACTTCCTGGTTAGGGTCATTGGGAAGGTAAGAACCAGTGGTTGGAGACAATCGGTGATATCGCTCAAAATCGTTCTCAATGGCTGGCGCAGATACATTCACTCTTTGTGATTTATAAAATCCAATAAAACTCAACTGTTCTTCCATATTACTATTCTTTTTGTTATCTGTCTTTACTGTCTTCTCTTACTTTGTGTGGTACATGGACTGTGGCAACTCATTCCTATTCAACTTCATCATAGATGTACTAATGGACTTAACCCTACCTCACTTCAGAGACACAGGGATTCACTTGCTACCAGGGAATAATCTCGTTGACTTAGAATATGCAGACGATATAGTACTTCTAGGCGAGGACGCTGACAAAATCCAGAGTCTTCTGAACACCTTGAGCTGCAATCTACGAATGTTTGGCATGCGTTTAGCTCCCGCCAAATGCAAGATGATGTTACAGGACTGGACCACACTGACTCCTAGCTTAGAAATAGGGAGTGAAGTGGCAGAGCACATTGACCGCCTCACTTATTTGGGAAGTACCATCAGCCAGCGCCAACGGGTTGATTTCTGGGGTCCTCGGGACGGTAAAAACCAATGGTTGGAAACAATTTTGTGATATGGCTCAGAATCGTTCTCCATGGCTGGTGCAGATACATCCACTCCCTGTGACTTATGATTTCCAATGAAACTATATTGTTCTTCGTTATTACTATTCCTTTGTCTCACACCTCTATTTACTGTCTCTATTATGCATTTCTTCTCTTGCTTTGTGTGCTACACGGAGTGTGGCGACTCGAACTGTCGTACATCGGTGCAAAGTTCTATGTTGAAACCAGTCAGTCAGTTATTTAACTTAGTTCATCATAATCACGTATGAACTGATTCTTTTGTAAAGCAATGAATAATTTTAAGGGCCATACTGATAAAATATTTTGTTGATCGTTTATAGTGTTTGGTGATAATACCTTTTGCATACTACCACCCACTGGTGTATTTAGTTTCTATGGTTCATTTTTAGGTTTGCTTTTTGTTGTCGTTGTTGTGATAGTTTCTAACAAGAACTTTAATACATATTCATTAATGTGAACTTATCACCAAAGGAATAGTTTTCAGATTACTTAGTTCACTCAGTAAATAAATCCTGAAATTGTTTATATCTGTGGTGTATTAGAGAGGAGAGGTCTATAAGTTAAAAAAAAACATTGCATCAAAGGATAAATTTACTCAGAGAAAATAATCAGTGATACAGAATTATTTATTTGCTGATGACATCCCGGGCACAATTTATCGAATATAATCATATCCAGGCACTCACATCACTTTTAAACTCAATTTTCATTATTCTGCTATTCATTATTTTATTGACAGCCATATTTTCCACATCCCTGGTATCAGCTTGAATTCATTTTTAAGAGTGGATTCTACGAACAAATACTCAATGACCAACCCGTACCTCCACCTACCTATATTACTTCCCAGAACTATAACTCTGTCCCATCCTATTGTATGGTTGTGTGTTACTGCATGTATTGCGATTGCTGAGTTTTCCTCTAGGCCATTCATCTTCCTGGTGTTAGTCATTCTACACTTAGCTAAATCCCTATGTTCCGAAAAGCTGTCTGCCCCCAATCTACTAGTCTGATCTATGTAGTTGTCCTCACAGTGATTGCAAGGTATTTTGTAGATCACACATTATTTCGTTTAATTCGATCGATAAGGTCTTTCGGCCTACAGAGGTTGTCCGTGAGTGTTTGGGTTTAAAAGCTCTCTAACTGATATCAATCCGTGATCAAGCTCTATTCCTTACAAACCAACCCTTGAAAATTGATCTGACGCTCGCTAGTGACTTGCTACAGGATGGATTTTCCTGGAGTTCTAGTGACAAGTCGTGACCAGTGGGGTCCATCAAGTCAAGTGTGTGAGGATGGATGTCCCATCGATGACGTTGGTTGGTGGTCGCGCTAAGTCACGAATTGGTAGAAGTTAGAATTCATGGGCTGGCCAATGAATCGGGTCCCAGAGGCTGGATGGCATATAAGCTTGCCTTGTAACCGAAGGTTCGGGGTTCGAGCCCCAGTGGGTGAGTACTGCCGATGGTTCCCAAACTAGGACGAAACAGCTGTCTAATACTCTCTGTTAGTTTTCAGTGGTTCTCTAACTGATATCAATCCGTGGTCAAACTCGTAAAAAGAAACCTAATGCTTACAATTCAACTCTTGAAAAAGGATTACTACTAATTAAATCAAAGAATAGTGAAGAATACAATTATATAAACAAAGTTTGTAACGACAGAAGACAAGAGCCAGGTAACAGATCGTTTATTGAGGAAATCAAGAGATATTTATAGATTTTTATGTACGTTATTGTCAGCCGAGAAACAACGTCTTCCGATTGGTTGTTTTCTTGCTGAAGGTTATCCTGTACTGCTCGTGGCCGTTTCTCAGAAAGTTAAGCCATATATCTGCGGATCCTACTTGCGCACGTTGAGTCTGCTGTGATTGGTTGGTGAGGTCCTCAAGGTTCAGCTTTGTTCTTGTTTTTTTCTCATGACCCCGATTCGGGATGTAAACATTAACGTAGGTTGTTATCTACAATTTCGGGCTTGCAGCCAGCTCTCACCACAATATGAGTACCTTAATGTGACTGTATCAATGCATCTTGTTTCATCTAATAAAATTATTCTATGATGGAATTATGTTCTGCTACAGTGCCGTAATTTTATTGCTCAAACACAAAATGTATGGTTTAAGTGTATTCAGCATAGTATTAGTATAATTTCTTTCATATTGGTCGCTGAACTGTCTTTTTCTCATAGGCTAATTATTATTATTGTTATTATTTATTACTTAATCTAGGCGTTGGTGGAATTTTCGCTGCAATGTTAATTAGTAGAATGACAACACGTCTGCATTCTATCACCTGTTCTAAAAAGTTTTCTTTAAAACAATCAGTGTTTGCTTCTCCTACTTCTTCACCTTCGCCGTCTTCAACGACACCAACAACAACAGCAACTACTACTAATACATGTGTAATGTTTGAAAAATCAAGGCGTCATGTTCCTAGTGAAGAAGTTTCCTCCTCTGGTGTTTCTGATCCCCCTTCCTCTTCTTCTTCGTCAGCATCATCTTTGTCATCCTTGATGTCTGCGGGAACAATGAAATCGTGCAGAAAACTACGTGAAATCTACACGGACGTCTCTCAAGTATCCAAACTCATTAAATTATTATGTGTTCCACTGCATTTCATACTTACTCTGATCAGTGTGATTATTGCACGGCATTTAAATCCACAAGAAAATGAGATATCATATTTACAGTTCAGCATTTTGATTCCGTATATTTCAGCTGGATTTATTCAGGTAACGCTTTCATTCATTTATTTATTAATTTCTTCTATTAATCTCCCTTTATTTGTAAAATATGTTTAGTCAATATATTTTTCTTACTTTTCTCCTTTAAACTTAAATGATCGCTTTAAACCTACCTGAACCCTTCCTTTACTGGAAATTAAGGCGATAATCTAACTAGCTAGGAATCAGTATACGGCTCTACAATATTCATCTTCCCAGACCATTTGTATCTGAGGATAGTTGTCAGTGTTTGAATGCGAATAATTTAGCACCTAGTTGATGCATTGAAGGAAAATACTTTGACCACTAAAAACTCGTAATAAGTGTCTTTTTTCAACAGTGTATGACTGTGTTACATATCTTAGAAAAGTAGGTTCTTCGTATGCTCTCCAGTGTTTGTTGATCAAGGCTCTGAAGAAAGCCTTTTGTGTGTGATCACTTCTCATGTATTTTTACACTGGAAAGAATGTCAGAGATGTACTTTAAAGTGTTGTACTCTTCCAGTAGTAGTTTAAAAAAATATGATGTACAAATAGAGCCGAAAAAGATAAGTATCCATATGGAAATCGTTTGAAAGAGCATTCATCATTACATATTGTTTCCATGAAAGGAAGCGAAAAGGAAACTCAATCATGTTCGTACTCAAATTTCTATTGTGAACCATATCTACAGATATCTTGAACCACTGAGGCTCTTCTAAGAAGTCGTGATGCACCGACAAATCGTTACCCAAAACAATTATACACTTCATAATGCGACGTCATGTGCTGACCACCTCTTATCCTTGATCGACAAGTCCCAAGGTTTACGAACACTGAGTAATTAGGCTGCTGGAATAACACTTGTATTATATGTCCAGGTCATTGAAGTTAGTGCCCAAAGATAACGTTACTAATTCAAAGGCTATATCTACCGCGTCCAAACACGTCTTCTGCCCTTCAAATTACCTACATAGTAACTCCACTGGTTGCAAGCGGTTCTCCGAAGACAGGGATTATTAAACGAAGAGTTCTGATACACCCTCAGCCCCAAAAGGTTGAATCTCACTCAGCACTGCCCGACGCTTCGCAAACCTGGCGTCTAAAAGTCAGGCTAACATCGTGACTGCGTCAGAGGTGTCCAAAATGGGCATATACTGCTATGGCATTCGCCCTACGACTGGATACACGAACATTTTGACCCGTGATGATGAATGCGCGCAAAAAGGCTTTTGCCAATCTGAGAGAAGTATTTTTTATTTGGTCGGTGCAAATTATATATCCATGTTACAGACACTCATGAACAATTGTCTAAGAGCAAGTTAGTCACACTGTAAAACAATATCGTCTGTATACTGCAGGTCAGACAGTCTTTCTTTGAGTTACCTTATATACACCACCATCACTATCACATATATTCTGGGAAGGCGTCTTAAGGAAGTCACCAATCGCAAAGTTACAGGGAGGTGGTGTACTTGACCCCGATACTGGTTGAGAATGGTGAACGCAAAAGGCTGTATGTCTTCAATGTAAGTCGTAGATTTTTGTGTAAGGCTTCCAAAATGTCTGAAAACTTCTCAGAATTTTCTATGCAGCAGGTCTTTGGCAGCTCTAATATGGAGAAACGCAACTGTTGTTGTCTTTCACTATGTGTGTAAGTGTTGTAAGAAATGGCAGAGAGCGAACGCATGACGAATGCATCCACGATATGAATGAAATTCAGCCTCCTGTTTGTGAAATCAGTTTTCCAAGTGATTTTCAGTGTGTGAGGTGTTTTTGACGCATTTGATACCAAACGGACCAGTAATTCTTCTATTGCCACGTACGTTATGCTAGGTCATTTCAAAGAAATGTACGGTAGTCACTTTATTCCTTGACTAAAGTCTTGCTACCATCCTTAAATTGGGACAAGGTTCGGTCGTCTGGGCTAAACATTGTAGAGTCTTTTTGTGCCTTGGAGTTCTTTTCAGAATTCCGCTCCGTTAGGTGAGTCTGTGGTAACCGACCATGAAGTACTATGTTTTACAACGTGTTTTCAATAGTGATCTGCTTAGCGATCCAGTATTTCCTATCCACTAGAATGGACAGACGTCAAGGAAAAGTAAAGAGCTCACAGATAGCAAGTATTTATGTCCTTTCAAACCAAAAGCGGTTTTAATCATCATCTCTGGTACCGTGTAAGTGCAATCTGCGTCTCTACTTCCCAGAAGAACAATAGCTAAAGTTTGTTTTAATTTGATTTGGTATTTAACTGCAATAATGAGTACAATCAGTTTACCTACGCTAACCTGTTCTTGATGACCAAGTCTCAAGAGTACGATCAGGATTTATATAGTTACTCTCTTTCTCACACACACATCCCCATTCACTATAATCTCATTACATTTCTTTTCTGAATTGTAGCCACTTTAGGACTGTTAAGTTAGACAAACTACTAGCTATACAATATTACTGTCAATTTACTTAACAAACTTCTACATTCTAGTTCCTTCTTCGGTAATCCTTCGAAATTTAATTAGGAAGCAGTAGTCATTTGATTATAAAAAATCAGTAAACTAATATCTATTGATTCGTCCTAATTTAGTATTTATTGTTTACCTTAACTAAATCTTAGTAATTAATCTGAATTCATTCGTATGAAAATACATTGAAAATTACTCTTAAAATACCAATTTTTTTTTCTACTTTATATCACACCCTCGGAAATTTCTGAATGTAAAAATTATTCCTTGCAATATTATGGAAATAATAGTTGAGATGTTTAACAGTTAATCATCATGTTGTGAATAATAACGATTGAGTGTCAAATTGGTCGTTATTATCAAAAAGATTTCTTTCCTAAGTGAATCTCGTTTACAATAATGACTGGTCAAGCCTAAAACTTAATTAATTAATTATTGTTGTCATTACTTAAATGACTCTTAATTTTTGATGTATTGAGTGTTTTCGATTTTCAAATGTTGATTTATAGGGAATTTATTGATTTCAAGTTTGACTACAAGCTTATATTAGTTAGAGAACCAGCGAAAACCAGTACTGGACAGCTGTTTCATCCTTGTTTGGAATTCTTCAACGGCATACACCTGTGATGTTGGCAAGGATTGAATCCAGGACCTTTAGGTTACAGTGTAAACTCGTACAACTTGATTGGACACTAGATAGTAACCAGTGTGATGCATCTAGTCCTCTGTTTGGGGCTGACTGAATTCTGTCAGTTAAATTTGCAATGGGGTCACCATTCTAGGTGGCTCCCCATCTGGATCGTTGTTGCTAGATGGTGGTCACATTGCAAACTTGACTGATAAAATTGAGTCTGCACCTAACAAAGGACTAGACGCATGATACTGATGCCCAAAGTATTTAATACAGTCATACAGGAGGTCAGTCGCGCGCCCGAATAGCTCAGTAGTATTATCTCTGTCTGCAGGGTTGAGTGACTTGGTTTAGAATCTCAGAGGGGACATGAGTTCCTTCAAGACTGCGGATACACCTTGCTGACTGGTGTATGCCAACAAGCACGAAACTAAGGTTCAAGGCTTCCCGCCGATTGATTACCTCCAACCATCCAATAACAACTCGTATACCATTCAACCACCAGGATGAGATCCAATGGTCCATCAATTCTTACTTCCCATCGGTGATTATATGTGGTCGCTCCCAACTTGACGGAACCCCGCCGGTTACAACTTTCCACTAGAACTCCAGGCAATTTCATTCTGTAGTCAGTTACTGGTGTGTGCTATATTAATTTTTAAATGTTGGTTTGCAGTGATTTCCACTGGTTCTCTGACTGGAGTCACTTGGTGATCAAACCTGTTTTTAATTTCTCTAGAGGAAAACTAGAATTCATTCACACTGTCCTGCTTTTAAACTTGAGGAATCTCCTGATACATTGATTATTTTGATATCTTATTAGTCAACAAACTAATCACTATGATTTGAAAAAAATTTTTTGGCTGTTCTATTTTTCTCTTTTTTTGTGACAGATATGTATACTACTTAAATTTGCCAAATGGATTGTTTTAAAACTCTGGAAAAAGTTTAGTCTTGCTAAACAATTTGATTCTAATATTAATGCTACTAACACTCCTATATCCCTAGCATCGCTGGATTTCTCCGCTATAGCCATGACTACAGGTTTAGGCGATTTAATTGGCACCGCTTTATTCGTTCTCTTTCTATGCATAAGTAAGCGGTTAACAAATAGTTGAGATATCCGTGTTTGTGTGTGTGTGTGTGATGTTTTACAGAAGAACAAAAGTTTATTTTTCTGAACTGATATCATGGTGTGTTGTTTTTTTTCTCCTTGTTCCGGTGTTTTCTTTCTGACTTTTTATTTTATGCTGTCTGGCTCGATAGTCTTTCGTCTCTACAGTAATTTAAATATGTTATAGTATATGTATCGTTGAATATTGTAATGTCAATTGGTTTGTTACATAGTCACCTTTTTGTATCATATACATACTTACGTGTAATTAATGATTACTCTGAAACACTTTAAATCATATATTCAATGTTCAACGTATTCCTTGTGATGTATATTTGTTTATCTGAACTAGTTATAGATCTGTAAATGTACATTAAAAATTAACTTGGTTGTTCGTCTGTTTCTTGATAAAAAAGACGCTGTTTATTGCTATTATTATTATTATTATTATTATTATCTGTTCTTAAAAGTTACACAGAATTATCCAGTGTTATTTCACTATGATGTATATTTTGTCTATTGTATTTACACATCTATTGTTTATAATACAATATCAGCTGATAAAAAAAGCTAGTAATAATAATAATAATAACTCACTATCATAAACACGTCATTTATGCTTGTATTTTATCTAAGGGAAATACTGTGGAAACGCTTTTATACGTCAGTACAATTGGAATAACATACGCCGCTGTTCACATTATTTGTTTAAAACTGAATGCACTATGAAATCTGTATGTCCGTATAGTAGAGTAGTCTGTATTCTCATTCGCGCGTGCACACACACACACATTTGTAGTTAACTGTTAATTGTTCTTGATTCATATTTGTATACCGATATGAAGTATTTACCTTCGCTATACTATTAGTACTTAGAAGAAAGGCGTAACAGAGAAATGAACAGAGTGCATGCTGGAAAGTCACTAGATTGAGTAAAAATAGAAAAATATATAGAGTTATATAATATACTCAGTGTTGAATTTATAATGTATCCGATTTATGGAATGAGCATTTAGTCTAGACACCAGTCCATCACGACTCTACAGAAGGTCTATTACTGCTGAAATCAGTCGTCAGTAACACCATTAATTTCAGCTTTGCATAACTTAGATTTGAATGTGAGTCTTATTAAGTCCGAAATCCACAACTTCCTACTGGTCGTATTCAATCATTTAAAATCAACTCAGAGATCACCGAAATTGCGAGTTTTCTAGGTTGATGACTTTATTACCATCTTGATTGACAGAATTGAGTCGGCAATAAAGACGACAACATTTGTGATTTTCTCTTTGTTTTCGTGTATTCGTCTCAGACAATGTTTGTGTTCATTCAACATAGGTTTCTAGTGTCCAGAATATCTATTCATGTAATTCTAATAGGTGTCAAGAACAGCTGATATCCATAGTCGGTCTGCAAATTTTGGGCTACCTATATCGCATGCTGAAAATTTCATAATTGTACCAAAAATACGGTGTTCAATCAAGCTGTAATCAAAATAAAATAAATATAATGAATTGGAAAAAAGAAGAGAATTATTCGCACACTTCTGCGCTTTGAATGATTTGGTGATGGGAGGCAGCTTGTACACGCACAAGTATATACACAAAGTAACATGGATTTAGCCTGATGGACACGGAGTGGGTCGTCCTAGGGTGACAGGGAGGAGATCATTCGAAAAGGAGGTGACAGATTATGGGCAACCGCGGACCCAGATGAAGAGGACAGCAGAAAATAGAACAAAGTGGAGATGTGTTGTTGAAGTCCTGTGTTCCACTCGGAACCCAAAGGAATAACAATCAGTTCTTTATGACATATTTTGTTTAAGTTCCAGCAGACATTCGTTGATTATTATCATTATTATTCCCATGGGTTGCGAGTGGAACACAGGGCTTCGGTAGCATATCTCCATTTCACTCTGTTCTCTGCAACTTTTTTTTATCCGACTGCATGATTGTTCCCTCTCATTCCATCTCCTCCATATAACCGGATGACCGATTCGTCTTTTCCCATTCGGGTTCCACTCAAGGCCGATTATGATGTCGCTCGACAGTCTCCTCAGCGTATGCTCAGTCCATCTCTATTCCCTTCTGGATATTTGTTGGACAACAGGTTCATGGTTGATTCGTTGTACCGTCAGAGTTCCTTATTGCGTATCTTTTCGAGTTGGCCACCTGACTTTCAGTTTAAGAGAGAAGGTAGTTGTTGATGAAAGTCTCCAGTAGCCTGTTGGAAATGTATTTCGTCTGCTTCTCAAGCCTATGAAATTCATAGAATCAGTGGTTTGAGATTGGTACGAGGTGATATAGATTCCCACACCGATTCTGTAGTAATAAATGCCTGTCTTGCTTTTCCCATCCTGGCTATCTTTGGTATCCTCATCCGTACCGTCTGCAAATGAAATGATACTACTCAGCCCTGTAAGTGAGAAGTAACTTTCTCTAGATTTCTCTCGTTGATACTGAATAGTTCTGGTTGTTGTTAGCTACCTCTGTTCCTTCCATGCTCACCTAAAATCCTATCTTCACTGCCTCTTCCGCCAACCTGTTGGTTTTCCCTTGTAGATCTTCGAGTCTGTGTAACATGAGACATCCACAAACTTCAAAGCTTCCAGAGACATTTTGTTGGTCTAACGTTTGACCGTCTTTCCACTTCCCACATTCTGTCCTATGATCCATTCTGTCACAATCAACAAGATAGGTGACGGTAGGCGGTCTCATTTTACTCCTGCCTTCATGGAGCTTTCCTTTGTGAACCACCTGATATGTGGCATCACCACATAGCTGTTAAATGAGGTTGATAGAGATTCGAGGCACTCTATATTGTTGCAGCAGTTCCCAAATCACCTCACATTCAACGTTGTTGCAGACTTTGTAAAGCCTATGAGGTTGAGGTGAGGAGGTGACTGTTATTCTACGCCCTGATTTATGATGATACATAGCGTTGCAATTTGATCAGCACATGATTTGCCTTTCCTGAATCCAGGTTGTTGCGGAAAGAGTTTCTCATCCAGTGCACTTTTTTAGCTTCTCCATGATGTTGTGACCTAATATTTGGTTTGCAGTGGGTAGGCGCATGATTCTGCTAGTTTTTAAAAACACTTAAGTCACTCTTCTTTGGTGGTTTGACAAGGTATCCTTACTTCCAATCAGTGTGTACCTTTCCTCTCTTCAAAGTCTTCTGTTGTAATCGTAGCGCGAGTATATCCTTTAACTTCTCGGGGTGTATTAAACACTCGTTAATACATTGGCATTATCGATTGTGAACTTCTAATATCATTTTTTTGTAAAATAGTCTAGACTTTTATAATGTTGGTTTATTTAAGCGATTAGATTGAAATTAATTGTTAGTTTGTGTTTGTTTATTTATTGTATTGCGTATGTGCAGTATATTACTTAGTCTTAGGGTGTTTTTTGCTTGTTTATTTTCTCAATTATTGATTTGTTGAGTTTGAATAAAATAATGAAAAGGTGAACTGTTTCTAAGACTTTCATGTTAATTTACTCTACATACAGGGAACCAATTTTAAAACAGTAATGAATGTAATAAGCCTATTCTTGTTTAAAAGGCTTCTGGTAGATGGATATTGTCGTTAAATTAAAAATTAAAAAAACTAGTATACAAGTAATTCATGTTCAAATGCACAATAGATGTGTTTAAAATACAAGGTCATAAAATGAGAGACAAAGTAGTGAAAATCGTGTAAAAACATAAGATTATGAATATCTATACGAAGAAAGTGGTAAATGCATGCCAAATAAAGAAATGTGGAGTTACAATCCAAACGATAGGCGGGTGTAATAGTCTGGCGAGTGCTACTGATAAGATTTATCGGTAGTATATAGAGAGACATTCATCGGCATAAAAACATCAAAGAGTAGGGAGATACATTTGATTTCAGAAAAGGCAAATGGTACAGTGTTATGGAGATACATGAGAAACATGAAAGGAACACATGCGACCACAAAATAAAGTCCAGAAGTACCACAATGCGAAGATTTGTGCAAATTGCGCGTTGAAGATAAGGTGTACAATCTTCGTATGTTTGGCATGCGATTCGCCCCTGCAAAATGTAAGATGCTGCTACAGGACTGGACCACGTCAACCCCTAACTTAGTGATAGGGAGTGAAGTGATAGAACATGTTGACCACTTCACCTACTTGGGAAGTTGTATTAGCACCAACGGACTGATTGGCGATGAAATCTCAGCACGGATCCGAAAAGCTCGAGCTGCTTTCGCTGACTTACACCATCTCTGGCGTAGGCGTGACATCCGGTTATCAACCAAGGGACGTGTGTACTGCTCATCAGTTCGCTCCGTTCTTCTCTATGGCTCTGAAACATGGCCAATACGCGTTGAAGACATGAAAAGGTTAACTGCTTTCGATCATAGATGTCTGCGATCTCTGTCTCACGTTAGGTGGTTTCACAAGATAAGTAATGTTGATGTTAGGCGTAGAGTGTTGGGCAAAGGGGGAAAATCAATCAACGAGGCTATAAAGTTACATAGACTAAGATGGCTAGGTCACGTGCTGCGCATGCCTAAACACCGCCTCCCCCGACGGGCTTTGCTAGCTGATATAGGTTCAGGTTGGAAAAGAGCCAGTGGTGGCCAAACAAAAACATGGCATCAATCCATGAAATCCTTGACAGCTAAACTGAGTCAGGTAGGGAGATGCAGACTCCCGGGTTGGGGCCCTCGGGACTCTAGGAATCAGTGGCTGGAGACAATAGGTGACATGGCTCAAAATCGTTGTCAATGGTGCAGATGTATTCAGTCTCTGTAATCTTTCATATTCCTTTCTACCATTACCCATTCTGTTTCACTCTTATACTTGTCAAACTCTATTAATTCTCTTCACTCATCTTCTTGTCTACCTCTGTGGGCTATTTGGAACGTGGCAACTCGAACTGCTGCACTTCGGTGCCAAGTTCTACGTTGAATCCAGACAGACGTACATAATATAGATATATCAATTCCCTGACAAACATTCCTTAACCAAGTCTTTGTCTTCCATTTCAACAGTAGTAATAGTAGCGTAGCGTGTTCTACTTATAATTCTTTGTACACCGCAAAAGATCCATTTAACTTTACCGGCAGTGTGAACCACTTGAACGTTTCAAATAAGTTCGCGATGTCATTCGATGTGACTTCCTAATTCACAAGAATCCCTAACGATGAAACTATTGAGGACATTTCTCAGCATTCCGAATTTCTCCCACTTCCAGTGTCGGAGTTCAAATGCCTTACTGTTAATGTGCACTCTGGGTGTACCGCCACACAGATAGTGTAGCTATGGGCAGTCCACTTAATCCTGTTTTAGCAGACATCTTCATGTCCACCCTTGAAAAAATAAAGCTGAAGCATGCGATCAACGAAATAACTTCTTACTGCTGATAATGTAGATAGATGACACATATGTAGTGTGCAACAGTGAAAGTTATGCTTCCCTACATACTCGGATTATTTAACGAAGTACATGTAAATATTGAATTTACTATAAAGCTACAAAATGATAGGAAGTTTCATTTCTTTGGCATCAGCATGCAACTCCCGAAAGATGGTAGTCTTCAGAGGTTAGTTAACGGAAAACGGAAAACAAATCACAATGTGGGAAAAAGCGTATCTTCATTCAACTTGATTTTAAAGGCGATAATATTGCTGAAATAATCAATAGAAAATTGAATAGTTCAGTAGTCAGAGCCTATCCTGAGGCTAAGTTGGTTCCCATCTGTCGGACAACATGCTTTT